GCACTGCGGAGTGGGGACCTGTCGGTGGGGACCGGGCGCCCAAGCTGGGCCCCCCGGAATCGCACGTTTTCTTTGCGCGCCAGGCATTGCGAAGCGGAGCCCCTAAACCCCCCATGTCCCCCGGACCCAATCAAGTCCAGAGTTTCCCAGACGCAGCGAGCCCCCCTGCCCCCCATCTTCTGTGTTCTACCCCCAATGGAGCAGGGCACCCGTTATTGGGGTGGGGAGGCGAGTCGGGAGGAGGAGGGTTGGAGGGAGGGAGGGAGAATTTCCCTGATTTTCAAAAATACTTGGTAACCTGAAACCCTTAAATCGGGGGGATAAAGGGGCACGCCTCCATTGTTGTCTAGAGTGAAGATGTTTAAGCCATAAACCTGAAATCAGAGGGCACTCGCTGCCTATTCAGTGCACCTCGGGTTGCATGGGGCGCTGGACGGGCTGGGGTCACCGTGCAGACCAATGAGCCTGCGGAGGAGCCTCAGCCCGCTGTCTCCGAAAGCGTCCGGGAGCCTATGGTTTGAATCGGCCGAGTCAGGCAGGGAGGAGCGGGGGCCCCCCGCCTTCCTAGGAGGGGCTGCATTGCAGGGGGAGGCGGCCGCGAGCCTCAGTCACTGGAGAGGGAGCGGGAGCGAGAAGACAAAGCCGGCCAAGCCCCCGCTGCTGCCTTTCTCTCCAGCCCAGAGCAGGGACCGGAGCCTGGGGTCCTCCCTCCATCTTTGGAACACACTAGTAATTCACTGATAACAGGTAAACTCACTGGGGGAGGGGAAGGAGTAGGGGGGCTGCAGAGATAGAAGAGCAGCTGCTTCTGGTTAGGTTAGGGACCCCCAAATAAGGATGAGTTTGGGGGGACAGTTCTAGAGGAGAGAAGGCGCCGCTATGAACAACGGTAGTTAATTTGTTCACCGTTTTCCATCTCTTGCTCACATCTCCATCCATGCCTTATAATCCTGAACACAGACATTAATTTTTAACAATTTACCTGTAGTTATTTCTTAGCATTTATCTCATTTCAAGTACCTATTTGCCTATAATTTATTGTCCTGTGTATTTTATCTTCAGTTTAGTTATCTCTTTCTTTCAAGCTATAATTTGTGTGGTGTGTTTTTTTCCTTATTATGAATCTCTAGTCCTACTGTATTGCTCTAGCCTCTATTTCCCTCTGTTTCTTTTCTTTTTTTTTCTGTAGTGTTTTATTGATGTGTCTTCACCCCAAACTTGTCTCCATAGGAGGCAGTTTGGGGGAAGGGATATGAGATAATATTGAGGTTAATCCTCACATTTCCTTTAATAATCTCCTCCACATCTCAAACGTTTGCTCCGAAGAAAGCTGCAGCTTGAGGTAGGAAGGTGGGGGCCTCTGTGTTGGAGAACTACCGGATCCCATATTGAATTAGTACAGCACACAAAAGCTAGTAGGTTTAGGGACAGATTCTGGAAAAGGAATGCTTATTTGCAGCTCGGTGGAATAGGTGGGGGAAGGACATGGCCATGAGAAAGATCCAAGCCCAGAATGAGGCGCATACAGTGAGATGCCGGAGCGCTTCCATTCCCCACCATCACCATGCCTTGTCCTTCCACCCCACGGTGGCAGCATGACACAGCAAGGCCTGGTTGGTAGACCTTGGATTCCCACTGGGGGGCTGCACAAAGGGTATTTGGGCGGGTCTGTGTGGTTCAGTGAGAGTCTCTTTTTATATATATTTGCTAATCAAGCAAATGGAGAGGGGAAGAGAAAGCTAGCTGAAAAGAGACCTCTTGCAAAATTTGGGTGGTTGGGAATTAAATTCACACTCTATTAAATTTTGAAATTTCATT